ATGATGGAGTGGCATGGTAGTTTGGACATTTGGGACATCTTCGACCTCCGCCTCATGGGGACCAGCCTCGTGCTGATCTTTCTAAGAGACATTGTTCAAGCAATTGCAATCCCCACATTGTAACAGCTCTCTTCCCACTTCTTCCCTGTGGTTACCCTTTCCTTGTGTCCTTCTTTCTTACCCATTCCTGCTGTCTGAGCTACCTCTCTGTGCAAATACTGTCTTTCTGATCTCCCCGTGGTTGATTGTTCCAAAGAGTACACCTCCTTGGTGTGAATGTTCACCTTCTATGCCTGTCTACTTCTTGGCCATGGGAGTGAGTTCAGTTCTAGGCCTGAAGGGTGACTAGGGGCCATGGTCTCGGGGGTTTCACCATGGGCTGTAATGTTTATGAAAGCAGATTGCCAGGCCTTTCTTCCACATTGCCACTGGGTGGGTTCGACCAACAACCTTTAGGTTAGTAATTGAGCATAAATCGTTTATACAGAACCATAAAATAGAAAGAGGACATTCTGAATGGTTTGGTTCATGGGACCATCTCCAGGATCAATTATGTAAAACAAACAAACAAAAGCAAGGTAGAGTAGTGGCCCTGTATGGTAGAGCATGCTACTATTTTTCCAAAAGACGGGAAAGCTTAATATATATGCTGTTTTTCTTGTATCTGGATAAAATAGCTCTGGAAGCAAACAAAGGAAACCTGAGGAAATTGGTCCCTTCCAGAGAGGACAAAGAGGTGGCTGCAGGAAACAGGAAGGAGACGTATTACTGCCCACTCTTACGTGATTTCTAAAATGTCAATCAATATTGTTTTTGTTGTTGTCACCTAACATCAAATTGGCTCCCAGTTCGTGGTGACCCCTGGCCTAACAGAACACAACGCTGCGTGGTCCTGTACCACCTCCGTGACTGGCTGAAGATCAAACTGTTCAGAAGAAGATGGCCAGGCCTTTCTTCCCAGTCCATTTTAGCCTGGAAGCTCCACTGACACTTGGTGAGCATCTTAGCAACAAGCAAGCCCCCAGCAACAGATGGGTGGGGGCTGGGAACTGAACTTGCATCTTCTGCATGAAAGGTGAGAATTCCACCACGGAACTACTAATGCCTCCCCCAAGAGTTCTTTAATTATAGCAAAAATTTCATTTTGGAAAATGTTAGAAAAAGCGATTGCCGATAAAAGTGTGTTTGATTGGGAGAGATGCAATACACAAAGGTCTTACAAGTGCTATGGGAAAAGTATTTCTTGGTCTACCTTTCACAAGTGTGTCTGACCATATCATTACTTCAGGTAGAAACACAATAACAACAATATGGAATGTTTATTAAGAACTTTCTGGCTGATCTTTGACAAAGGCCCAAAATCCATTAAATGGGGAAGAGAATGTTTGTGTAATAAATGGTGCTGGCAAAACTGGAGATCCATTTGCAGAAAAATGAAACAAGATCTGTACCTCATACCACACACAACAAC